TTTATAGTAAGAATTACATACTGATGTTGGACAGATCTGGGGATGAATTCCAATTTAAATATGCAACAGCTGCCTGAACTTTTTTTGCTTCAGTTTTCTTATTTAAAAAAGAGGGACAAGAATACCTCACAGTGTTTTTGAGATTAGAGAAAACGTACACATAACTTCTAGCACAGTTACTGGCATACCAGAGGTCTCAATTAGCAGCTGTGAGTTATTAAAAGTATTAAATCTCATATTAACAATTATCTGATTACTCTAAATTCATTTCTTAAATCAGCATTATTTCAGTAATGCTTTTCCTAAGAGCCATTATATTGTCAAAGTAAAGAAAGATTATACATAGAGTATTCTGTGAAAACAGTTAATGAATTAGTGAGATTTAACTAAAAATATACTGTTTAGTTAAATTAGAATTTCATCGTTGTCAATATAATATTAAAGACTCTGGCCAACTTATAGATATGACAACAATACAATAATTATTTTCTTTTTAAAACATACCATTCTAAAGTCCTAAAATACTTGCTAATATCTGAGAGACTATAAAAAAACTAGCTTACCAACACTGGGTAACATTCCATTTTGATAATTTTTCTATTCACTGAATATTTATTAAACACCCTTATGTGCAGCTTCTGTGCTAGACACTGCAAAAGATTAAGGAAAAAAGTCCCTATTTCCAAGAGAACTTCATGCAGGGGGATGTAGGTGGCTCAGTCTGTGTCTGACTCTTGATTTTAGCTCAGATCATAATCTCATGGTTCATGAGATGGAGCCCCTTGTTGGGCTCTGTGGATGGCATGGAGCCAGCTTGGGATTCTCTCTCTCCCTTCCCCTGCTTGCACATGCTTTCTCTCTTTCTCTGTCAAAACAAACAAATAAACATTAAAAAAAAAAAAAAAAAAGAGAGAGAGTACTTCATGCAAACTGCAGTGACCCCGAGGAGGTAGACAGACCACAAGGGGAGGTGAGAGGAACTTGGGAATCAGAAAATGTTCTGTAAAGAAGTAAAGCCCAAGAAGGGCTCTAAAGGCTGCCTCGGATTCTGACAGTCATTTTGTGGTGGTGTAGAAAGTGGATGTGTGTGCCATCATAGGCAAGTCATGGAGGCAGAAAAGTGACAGGTAGTGCGTGGGAAGCATCAAGGAAGCCAGTGTGGCTGGAGCTTAGAGTACTTGCAGAGAAGTGCACGATACAGCTGAAAAAGAATAAAAAACTAGCTAATTTGGCAGTTTTTATAATCCTTTTTCCTTTGTGCTCTCTTGTATAAAAAGATGTTTCTTTAAGAAGAGATGGAACCAGAACTGTCCTCTAGCTGAATTTAAAAGATGAGTGAAGAATGTTTTAGAGCAAAGTACTCATAGTATTAGTGACCAGCGTTTGTAATCTTCTGTTACCTTGGTTCCCAGATGACTTGTCAGCCTTCGAGGAGCAGAGTGTGTGCTACTAGAACTCAAAACACTGGCTGTTTCATGATCCATTCGTGCAGCTGAACCCTAGAAATTAAGCAAATTATGAATAGAATGATCTAGATTATAAACAAATAGAGCTAACTTCATGTTAAGGTGCACCAAATGAACTGTCTTTAAGGTAAACAGCTAAATACACAATTAAAAGTGTGGACATTTTAACACTCAAGATGAGTATTTTTACCTGTGAACTTAAGTAGGTTTTAAGGCAAAAATGAAGAAAAGGAGATGTGCTGCAAAAGAAGTTAAACTACTGTGTGGAAGTAACCAAACACTGAAGAAATTCTAAGAGTGGTATTTTTTCACAGATCAAAACAGATGAAACCACATTTGGTCAAATAAACATTTATTGATAGAAAGCTTTATTGATTGATGAAATGCTCTATATTACCACAAAACTAACTAGGAATTTGGTTCAGTCTAACTTCTCCAGGAGCTCATAGTATAGAGAGGACCGCTTAAAACCTCATTGGAGAAAGACATGAAAAAATAAATAACTGCACTGTGATATTATAAGCACCACAGCAGAAAAATGCATAAAATACTTAGGGAAAACAGGAAGAAACAACTACTTGCTAAGGAACTATTAAAGGCTGCATAAAGTAACATTTAAGGTAGGCCTAGAATCTTGGAGTAGGGAGACATATAGAACAGTCTGTGTAAAGGTAATAAATATGAGAGCATGGAGTATTTGTTTAATGTGGACAGAGCACAAGGTGTATGGTGGGAGATAAAGATTGGGTTAAATTATTAAGTGTTTCATGAGTCATTTTAAACATGTTGCTTTCAAACCGTGGACGTTGTGGAGCAACTAGACTTTAGGCAGGAGGATGGCACAAGCAGAATTATACCTTTAAAAGGTATGAAAAGACAGGATGCAGAGCTCAAAGATGGCAAATCAGGAAGAGGGTATTTTCAACAGCTGAGCAGTGAGCAGGACACAAAGTAAGGAAGTGAGAATACTCTATTAAAAAAAAATTTTTTTTTTAAATTTTTTATTTTAATGTTTATTTATTTTTGAGACAGAGAGACAGAGCACTTAGAGCAGGGAGGGGAGCAGAGAGAGAAAGGGAATACAGAATCTGAAACAGGCTCAGCCTCACAGGCTGTCAGCACAGAGCCCAGCCAGACTCTCTGCTGGACCCTTGAATTGCTTGGCCTGAGCGAGGTCAGATGCTTAACCGACTACCCAAGCCCCTTAAAATTTTTTTTTTAAAAAAAATAATTAAACATGGTGAGAGAGAATATCATTTTTTTTTTTTTTCAGCGTTTATTTATTTTTTGGGACAGAGAGAGACAGGCATGAGCAGGGGAGGGGTGCAGAGAGAGGAGACACCAGAATGGGAAACAGGCTCCAGGCTCAGGCCTCAATATTGAGCCCGGCCAGGCTCGAACTCACGAGACCAGCGAGATGCGTGACCTGGCTGAAGTCGGTGTGACTAAGCCACCCAGAAGGCGCCCAGGGAGAGGAGAATATCTTAAACAGGCTCAGCATGAACTGATACAGTTCTCAACTGACTGAAGTCTGGGATACTCATATGGGGGACAGAATCAGTTAGTTTGCTAACCCCAGCTGGATGTAGTAAAGAGACACTGGAGCCAAGTTAAGCGTCTAAGAGCACTGGCTTGGATAAATGCATGGATAATGCTGGTATTAAAAAATACAGGGGCGCCTGGGTGGCGCAGTCTCAGTTGAGTCCCTGGAAGCTTCAGCAGCCAGTCTGCGATCTCATGATTTGAGCCCTTTGTCAGGAGCTCCTGATGGCTCAGAGGCAGACTATTTCAATTCTGTCTCCCTCTCTCTCCCCTCCCCACGTTCATGCTCTGTCTCTCTCTATTCCCAAAAATAAATAGCGTTGAAAAAAAATAAAAAATACATAAAACTCAGGAAGAGATAACAGGTTTCAGTGTGGGAAGTGAGATCACCATTCAATATACTGACACCCAGGAAAAATGGACTTGTGAAAACCAGGATGCAACTCTGGACATATTTATCTGGGGCTGCAGATAAATATGTGGGACCTATTAAAATAGAGGCCATAGCTAACACAATTCATTAATGATTAAAAATAATGATTATAAGAATAACATCCACCTAGATAGCAATATTGGCAAGTATTCTGTTGCAGTTCTTAATCTTTCAAAAGGAAAAGCTAGAATGTAAACTTTTTGAAGGCAGAAACAAATTGTATGTGGTAGTAATCAAAGAGTACATAAGAAGAAGTTTCTCTTTACAGAAGTATTCCAGCTAATTTTGCACCCTAATGAATTAATGGAGCTGGGCATAAGGTATCAGTTACTGATAATATCACAAAAAGAGAGACAACCAGACATTATGTGCTTCCTGACTAAAGATGAGAAGACCATAATGCCACTCTGAAAAAGACTTGCAAAAACAAAACAAAACAAAACAACTGAAAATCCAAGGCAAATTCTATCTCTAGATCCAAATACCAATTTACTGGAAATACAGAAGATAGAGAGAAATGTCAAACTACATACCATGGATATGTTATCAGTAAAATCCAGACTTTGGAAAACTGTATAAAACAAATAGCTTTGGTTCTTTAACAAATAAACATCCAGAAAACAAGAGACAAAAAAAGGAAACTATAGATTAAAAGACTTTGAAGACTATAACCAAACCCAATCACAAACCTTACCTGAAAAGAGTCAAATAAATTGTGAAAAATTATGACATTTATGAAACAACTGCAAATTTGAATACTGACTGGATAATCCGATATATTACTATTAGTTCCTTTGGGAATGTAATAATGGCAATATAGTTATATATATATTTTGCTTTTTTTTTTTTTTTTTAAGTAAGCTCTATGCCCAATGTGAGAGCTTGAAGTTGAGACCCTGAGATCAAGAGTTACATGCTCTACTGGCTGAGCCAGCCAGGTGCCCAAATAGTTGTATATTTTTAAAAAGTGTTCTTATCTTTTGGAAATACAGAGTGAAATATTTATGGAAGAAACGATGATGCCGGATCGTCTTCAAAAATAAAATGGGAGGGCAAGGTAGACAGGGTACATGTGGGTTACTCTATTATTCTATCTGCCTCTGTATATGTTTGAAGTTTTGCATAGTAAAAAGTTTTAAAATGCTTATTAGCAGCAAAGTGTTCTCCTATCATTTCATTTCTTTCTCAGTCTTGGCTGATCTTCATCACTACTTACTGGCTCTCACTAGAGATCTGGTTCTAAACTTTAAATAGAAAAGCTAAGAACAAATTCATAAATGAATTACACATGCAGTTATATACTAAGCAAGCAGGGATCTGACCTGTATAATTTACTTCTAACTTCGTCTTTCCATTTAACTTCCAGGGAAGATTAATCACAGATCAAGAAACACTATTTCTAGAAGGGATGCCAGATCTTCCTTCAATTAACATATATTTACTGTTATCTACTATTTACCAGGGACTGTTAGGATATGAAAAATGGACAAAACTAGATAAAATCTTTGCCCTTCTGGAGTTTAGTCTAGTGGGGGAAATCAATACTAATAAAATAATCACACAAATAAATGTAAACTGCAAATGTAGTCTTCTTCAAAGAAGAAGAACATCCTAGGATGGCCTGTAACAATGGGATTTGTATGTTCAAGCCTCTTGGGAAAGTCATGCTTAAACGCGAAGACACGTGGACTGATGTTAATGGAGTAAAATGGGATGAGAAGAGTACTATATGGAAGGGGCATAGATTGTGCACAGGATGCCCAGGAAAAGGAAGCCCAATAAATATGAGGTACTAACAGGCCAGTGTGGCTGAAGTGGTAAGAGCAAAGTGTGACGTAAAGCTGACAAGTTTGATAAGAGCTAGATTATACAGGTCCTAATAAAGGGTTATCTTATTCTAAGAACCAAGGAAGCCAATAAAGGGTTTTATAACGAGGTGATTAAATCTTTGTAAAGATCATTCTGGCAGAAAGGATGTGGGCCAGAAACCAGTGAGAGAGGGTGTACAATGTACTTCACACAGTGATAGGGATAAGTCCGCAAGGATAGGAGTTTTGCTGCATCATGCTACTTTGATCCTGAGAGAGTCAAAGATCTGATTTTCATATTCAATTATTGTCAATGGTTTTTATTTCTGGAGCAAATAATAAAACAAAAAAAGAAATCCCAAGAGGTTGTCATGTATATAGATCCTATTAAGATAGTTAAAGGAATCTTGGTTAATTGAATCACAGTCACACAGATATAGATCACTCAGCTACATCAGGATTTGGAGTAGCTGTAGTATTGTTTTAAACAGTGACTAAAAGTAACCAAATAGATGACATTAGCAATATTAGTGCCACAGAAACACCGATTTGGCGGCAGAGTCTATGGCTAATATTGCCAAACAAATGTCTTATCATATTTACCACAGAATCTATGGCAATATCAAAATTCACCATTTGAAGAATGAATACTTGCCACCGATTCAATGTTTTTAACGGATCTCATGTTCATCACAAAAAATTCACACAATACATAAAAAGGTAAATATGAAAGTAAAAACAACATAATCCCAACACTAGAGATATCATTGGTAACATTTTGAATATTCCTTCATTTTTCTATGCACATACACACATATACATATGTACAGTATGGAAGATTACTTATTTAAGAAAAAATATTAAAATTATTTTTCTAAATTAATAGCATGTATTAATACTCGGTAAACATTAATTTTTTTTAATGTTTATTTATTTTTGAGACACAGAGCACAAACAGGAGAGGGGCAGACAGAGAGACACACAGAATCTGAAGCAAGCTCCAAGCTGTCAGCACAGAGCCCGACGCGGGGCTCGAACCCATGAACCATGAGATCATGACCTGAGCCAAAGTTGGATGCTTAACCAACTGTGCCATCCAGGTGCCCCAAACTCAGTAAGCATTTAAACATTTACTGTCTATCAAGTACTATGTTAGTTTGTTCGGTTACAATGGTGAGCAATGGCAATATAGTTCAGCTTAAAGGATTTTAAAAAGGAAGACAATTAAACCTATAATAAATTGTGCTAAATTCAGTGAGAACAGAAATAGAGAGTACCTGATAGAGCACTTAATCAGTTCTAGGGAGGCAGGAGCAAGGAAAATGTCCTGGAAGAGTGCCTGCCATTTAAACTGAGGGGAAGGATGAGTAGAACACATATTGGTGAACTGAAACAGAGGAGAGTTCCAGGCAGAGAGTGGAAGGACTGGACATACTCAAGGACCCGAAGAAGCTGAAGTTGACGGAGTGTAGAGAAATGGGGGCATTATAGCGATAATGTTGAAAAAGCAGGCAACACAGAATTTGGATTTTATTCTTTGGGCAGTGGGTAGCCACTGAAAGGTTTAAATAAATAAGCAATATAAACAGGTATTTTGGAAGGATCACTCTGATTATAATATGAAAAATATACTAGAAAAGGCAAGGCTGAAATAGAAGATCTCTATATAAACAGAGATCTAATTTATCATTTCTAACATTTGTATGGATGTTTCATGTACCACATAGGTTCTATGAGGCCTGCGATTGTTTGTCCTCTTCAATTTGATCTCTCCAGAGTCTACTATAACATCTGGCACATAATTTTACTTAAAAAATCATAATTATTAGTTATTAACAACAATAAGCTATTATGTTTAATGAGTGTCTATATCCACCAAGAACTGTATTAAGTACATATCGCATTTAGTTCTCACAACGATATCATCTTATTTTTCTAGAGGAAACACTGAAGCTCAGAGTTTATACTTGTCCAAGATCAGTCTCTCAGCTAGTTAGCGGAGGAATGGGATTAATCCCGGGACTGCTGACTCCAGAGCCATTTAACCACTTATCTCAGTCAAATGATAATTTACTCAGTTACCTATTGATTAATATACATTTATTTCTAATTTTTGTTATTACAAATAATATGATGAATCTCTTCAAACATGTCTGAACACTCTTGACTGATTACCTCATAGCATAAAATGTTAGATATTGCAATGATGACCCACAAGGCAGGTACAGCTAGAAATTTAGATGCTTATTTACAAAACTGCTTTTCAGAAAGGTTGTTCCATTTCACACATGAGAATGCCTATAAACTTACCATTATCAATACTGAGTGTTAATGATCTTTGTCTACCCAATGGCATCCAAAAAAAAAAAAATCTTATTTTGGCTATAGTTGATATTTATATATCATTACTATGAAACTGATGACCTTTCCATATGTTTAAAAGTCATTTTATTTTTCTTTTTAGTTCCTGTTCATGTCATGTCATTTGTTCATGTTTTAATGATCTTTAATTAATTTATACTCTATGTATTTTGAAATGTAACTTTTTCTTGTTATAAATAATTGTAAATAATGAGATCTTAATTTTTGTCTTGTAACCTTGCCATAATTTTATGGTGTACTTGAGTTTTACGTTTTTATGTGAAAGCTACTGATTTTTTCCGTTTCCCCACCTCATGATTTCCCTCATGATTATAATCATTCTACCCACATTTTTCTAATCTTTATATGTATATATTTTCTAATCTTTTTATATTTTTAATTTTTATTTTTGACATGAAGTCTAATCTACTTAGAATTAATTCTGATATAAAAAGTGTGGTAAGGATCCAATTATTATTATTTTTAAAGTTTATTTATGTTGAGAAAGAGCAAGAGAGTGCATGCTCATAAGCAGGGAAGGAGCAGAGAGGGAGAGAGAAAATCACAGGCAGGCTCCGAGCTGTCACCACAGAGCCCAAATCGGTTCTTGAACTCATGAACTGTGAGATCATGACCTGAGCTGAAATCAAGAGTCAGATGCTTAACCAACTGAGCCACCCAGGCACCCCTCAATTATTAGATTTTAAATGGGATAGACAACTTATTGATAAATGAGACTTTAAAATATGTAATAACTGGAACATGATCCAAAGCATTAATAGGTGGTCTAATCCGAGGCAAACAATTTTTTTCTGTCAAGAACATAAAAATTTTCTTCTTTCTAGATATGTGGAGGAAAATATAAACTTCCCGAATAATTCCCAAAATATAAAGAATAACTCAAATGTGTTAAATATAATTTCTTTTGCCCCAGTTTACCATTTATAGCTGAAATTTTCCCCCAGTATAATGGTAATTAGTAATACTAAAAATGAAGTATCTCTTTTTTTAACTCAGTAAAATAAATTTACATAATTATGAGACATTTTAAGCTTTAAATTTTAATACATTCCTTTTTTAAAAATATAGTATCATCAAAAACAACCAGAGACACTAAAGGAGTATTTTACATCATGAGTAGGGAAATTATCTTTAAAAACTTAGTGAAATTCTATTTTAAAAAATCACTCATTTACAACAAAAAAATATTCATTGAAAAAAATGTGGAGAATACGTAACACCCCAAGGAAAATTCTGTCATATGAGGATGCATTCCAATAAAACTCTAATAGAAAACTAAAGGCAGGATAACAAGACAACCATGTTACATTCAATAAAAAAAATCAAGTTGACTTCCACAATTTTGCTAGCAATGATGTGATAATGGTTAAACATGACTAAGCTAGGTCTCTTTACTTTTTATGAGCATTAGTATCATTTTTTTCAATTATAAAATTTTGATTTCAGATTTATGTAATGTTAAAGTACAAAAGAAAAAAAGAATTATAACAAAGTCCTTATGATCATTTTTAAAAACATAAAAATGTCTTTGCAAATAATCCCTTTCAAAGAATGCCTTACAGAAAGAGCAAATCTGTTCAATGCAAGCAATAACAACTAGGTCAAATCATATATATAAGCAAAATGCAGCTTAGCATTTATTTTTCAAAAAAACCCCTCTACTCATGCTAATCATTTCAGACTAAAACAGAAATACAGAATTTAGAGGTATAAAATATAGCTCTAAATTAGAAATTTTGAAACGTTATTGGTAGATGTAATAAAGAAAAATGATATAGCATTTTGGCACTGAATTCTTCTGGAGATATCCATTCAGGATTAAGGAAATCAGTAAGATTTACAGATCATTCTGAGGACTATCTCACCCCATATTCCTTTAGAAATATTTAAATAGTTAATTAAAAAGAAAACCAATAAATTTCTTTACCTGACCACTACCAGGAGTTGCCATGTTGATTTCTGCCACTCCTTGACCTTCATTCTGCCGCTCAGCTTCATGTGAGCCGGCTTCATGCTTGCTCTGAGATGACCTCTGTTAATATGGAGTTAATATCATTACATGCAAAAATGGTGTTTGCTTTCTTAGCCCACAGCTTTTTTTCCTGTCCTGTATTAAAGCTCTGAATGTATCAATTATATAGGTTTACAAAAGCAAAGAACTGCACTTTATACTTCATAACCTCCAGCATGGTTGGCAGTCGACTATTTCAGCAGGAGGAAAGTGAAGTGTGTCCCTTGAGCATTAGAGCCGCACAAGACAAAGGATTTTCTGAGACTCACAGAAACACCATCCTCCACCAGCTGTGCTCACATCACTATCAGGGATATAACCCCACTAGAATAAATAAGTGTCTCTTCCACAAGGTCACATGGTTCTGGCATTCAATGTAGCTGCAAATATTAACAGTTAAACTATTACCTAAGCTTACAAATACCTTCCGTATAGGTATATTTATACACAGAATATATATACATCCTCTGCTAATAAAAGTCAGATGAAATCAATAAGCTCTTAGAATCTGATATGAATAAAACCAAAAACCTTTTTTAATGTAACCACCATCTGTTATATGAAATGAAAATGACAGATTATATCCAGTAAAAGCAGTCATTTCAGGATAGATTATATCCAGTACACAGCAGTCACTCTGTAAAAATACCACTGCAGAATCAAATAAGTAAAATAATTTTTCCATTATTTTTCATAGCAACAATTACAAATGTGCTTGCTTGCTCTAGGAAAATGATACTCTAAAATAAAAATTACCCTTTAAGAAACTTGGCATATTTAATAGTGATAAATAAATTACAAAATGGCTTCCACTAAAATTTCTTTACATATCAAGCTTTCCTAAACCATTTAAAATGTGACTTAAAAGTTACTTTTCATGCAATATTTCCATCAATAAGCCAGCATGAGTTATATGTAGGCAAGAATGAGGAAGCCCCAATAATTCAGAAAAAGAATTGTATCATCTGAAAATCACACTAGAAAATTCAACAAATTCAACAAAAATAGAGACATACACGAAGTCAATCGAGAGATAAAATGAATCAAAAACCACTAAAAACACAAAGACTTTATACTAACATAATTAAAGATGTCAATGCAAAAGTAATTATTGAGCATCTGCTCTGTTACTTGTACTAGGTGCTGGAGACTACAGGGCTGGCAAAACCAGACATTGTTCTATGTGCTCAAGCTTATTGTCTCATCAGGGATACTATCAAATAATGAGAGAGCTAACAATAAAGTTAAAACTTTGACAAGCACACTGAAATAAAGAGTACAAAGTGCTGTGAGAATGTATAGCAGAGGGATATCACAAGGCCTGAGTTTGGGAAAGAGTCCTCTTAGGGAAGTACTGTCAGAACTGAGACCTAAAAAATAAACAGGAATTCTGGGAAAAGGGACAGGGTTAGAGGAAGGTTTTAGATAAAAAGATGACGGACCTAGAGTAGGAGGGGGCATGGTTTGTTCTAGTACATCAAAAAATCATGTGCAGAGAACAAAAAAAAGGTAAAAACAATAAATCTTACTTTGTTGAACTTTAGTATAATTCTCATATGTCACTCCTGCCCTCACATAACCAATACTAGATTATTAATGGGAAAAGTTAATATAAATTGATCTTTTAAGGTAAAATTTTAATTTTAAATTTAAATGGCCTAAGTAGATAGGAAACACTTGGAGTCTAGAAACACCTTTAGAGTGGGGAAGTGGGAAAAGACAATGAGGGAGAGAAGGGGACAGATGAAGGAAGACAGCTGCAGGGAGAGGCAGAATTGAGGAAGGTTCATTTTATATTATGAAGACCTGAGTCTTGACTTGAGGATGTTTAAATGTCAATGCAAAGGTACCACTGAAGAAGATAAATGTGAGAAAAGAAGTAAGAGTAAGAAGTCCCTGAAAAGGCAGGCGTTGAAAATCCAAAGTACAAGAAGGAAGGTAGAATGCTTCCTGATAGGAAGGGCAGGCAGTTCTGATTTCTCTAGGAAGGAGGAGGTGGAATTATTAAAGGGAGGGAGATAAGTCATTTCCAAGAGAAGAATGGAGATCCACAGAAACACAGTAGTCCTGAAGGATTACCAGGCCCATTTGATGATGGTGAGAATGATGAATATGATAAAGTTAAAAAAAAGTCTAATGTTTACTATGCACTAATCACTTGGCATCTATTGATTCATTTAATCCTCATACCAGCTCTGTGACATAGGTATTATTATTATCCCCACTATACAGATAAAGAAACTGAGAAACAGATAATATAAGTATCTGGCTTTAGGTCACATACTCAGTAAATGGCAGAGCCAGAGTGGGGATCACAAGTCTGACTCCGGGGCCTAAACTAATATTTAACACTTACTATCTTTATTTTCTTTCCTTTTTCTTCTTTCCTTATTTGTTATTTACTTCCCTTTATTCTTTTACTGATCCTAGGCTACAGGCCTGCCTGCACTCTTTATCACTGTCCAAAGATACTGCTAACACTGAAGGTAAAGAAACTATTGCTGATTCTTATGAAAGAATAATCCTGGGGTGCCTGGATGGCTCGGGGGGTTAAGCATCCCCCTCTTAGTTTCGGCTTAGGTCATGGTCTCTCAGTTCGTGGGTTTGAGTCCCACATCAGGCTCCATGATGACATTGTAGAGACTGCTTGGGATTCTCTCTCTCTCCCTCTTCCTCTGTCCTTGTCCTGCTTGTGCTCACTCTCTCTAAAAATAAACAAACTTAAAAAAAAAAAAAAAGAACAATCTAACTAGAGATCTCCTTTCCAGCATTGCTGGACAACTTCCTCAAAGTTGTCTACCCTAGGGCTGAAAAAATTAAAAAAAAAATTGTTGAGGTATTTATATACCACAACATACACCCATTTTAAACAATTTTTCTGTAAGCTTACCAAGCATCACCATAATCCAGTTTTAGAACATTCTCACCATTCTAATAAGATTCCTTGTGCTCACTTACAGTCAATCCTCATTCCCATTCATGTCTCTGGCTTATCCACTTTCTGTCTTTATAAATTTGCCTTTTCTAGACATTTTTTATAAATGAAATATATGGGCTTACATGTCTGGTTTCTTTTACTCAGCATGTTTTTGATGTTGATCCATGTTATAGTATGTATCACCAATTTACTCCTTTTTACAGCCAAACAGTACTCCATTGTAAGGATATACACATTGTGTTTATTTATTCACCAGTTGATATACATTTGCACTGTTTCTACTCTGGGGCTATTATGAATAATACTGCTATATACATTCAAGTTAAAGTCTTTGTGTGGCCACATGTTTTCACTTTCTTGGACGGGTATACCTAGAAGTGGAATTGCTGGGTCACATGGTGACTTTATGTTTAATATTTTAAGTAACTGCCAAACTTGTTTTCAAGTGGTTATACTATTTTACATTCTCAATAGCAGCGTATGATGGCTTGTATTTATCCACATCCTTGCCAATGTTTATTACTGTCTTTATGATTATAGCCATTCTAATGGGGTAAGGTGGGATATCACTCTAGTTTTGATCTGCACTTCCCTAATGACTAATGATGGTAAGCTTATTTTCATGTTTATCAGCCATTCCTGTGTATTTTCTGGTGAAATGTCTATTCAAATCTTTTGCCCATTTTAAAATTGAGCTATCTCCCTATTAATGAGTTGTAAAAGTACTTTGCATAGGATTTTAATAAATATTTCTCACTGGCTATCTAGAGATTTTACAACCATGCTAAAATTCTCACAGCTCCTATCTTTTTGATCTCCCCAAACGTATTTGTTTGTTAGTAAATAACCCAACTGAAAAGATATACAAGAAAGTGGTAGCACTGGCTATCTCACATATCTTTTTGTAACTTTTGAGATTTGAATCATGTGCAATAATTACATCACTTGAATTATGTACAGCATTTAAACCCTAAATCAGAGTTGTCAGCAGGTAGGACAAAGACAGTGCTGTAAGAAATATGCTTCATTGTAGAGAAATTATTTGACAGAAATCTTCTCTTTCCCTGTATACACTGAGTATGAACTAATTTATGAGTGTCCAAACCCTGGTTTTCTCCATTTTCCAGCTTCTCCCACTTATCTATATTAGCAAAACAATGACAATGGAATAAAAAAACTTCAAAAAGCAAAATTAAAAAAAAGATTTTGGTTCTTTCTTAAATGTGAGATGGCACCTTCCTTTAATGTACATTCACTGAACTAGTAGACTAAATGTAACCACTGTAGGCTATGATTGACATAATCATTTTCATAACAAAAGAAAGCAAGAGAGACTGGATCACAATGGTAGACAGTTGGACCCAAATCCAATGATATGAATAAAAAGTTTTGAACAAATCCAAACAACATGAACAAGTCCCCAACCTGCAATAAACTTATACTGATGCTGAAAAATAAGGATTGCAATTAACAAATGACAATTTTTTAGGGCTTTCCAGAAGCCAGAAAGTTGGAAATTTTGGAAATACAGGGAGGGAATATGTTATAGTGGGAAAATGATAACAAAAAGCTAGTGTAGTAATATTAATAGCAAACAACGAAATTTAAGGTGAAGAGCATTAAATGTAATAAGGAGAGCTATTTCATACAAATAAAAAATTCAACCAACTAAAAAAACAAATGTGAATATTGACTTCAAAATATAAAAGAACTTGTTAGATGCAGACAAACAGTAATAATCAGAATATAAAAAGATGGAAGAAAAAAAATGTAACTAAAGAAGTGAGAAACTTGGCAGTGGAAACTCAAAGCAGAAAATGTCAGAAGAGAAAATATAAAATGCAGTGTTGCTCAATGAAAACAAAAGGCTGCCTCTTTAAAAATAATTTTAAAAATAGAGTGTAATAAGTTTAATCAAGGAAAAAAAAAAAAGATAAACTACACCGTAAAGTCAAAGAGGTTATAACGACCAGAATACTACCATGTAACAATACTAGTGAAACTGAAAAAGGAGCAGAGACACCATTTTTTTTTCTAGTCTTTAAGAGTCAACACTGCAAAATGGACAACTTATTCCTTATACGTATATTATTTGGTTTTCATTGGCTTAGGACAGCCAAGTTAAAACTGCTTTTAGGAGTAGGACTTAATTGTACTTGTACTTAAACTGCCTACTTAGCAAACACGTTTCTATATATTTCAAATTCGGATGTACTGCAGCCAAAGTTCCTATGATATTAAGAGTCAGGCATAAACAAACAGGTCACTAGAAGATTGGAACTCTGGGTCAGACAAGTCTCCAGGGAGGAGGAAGAGGGGGACTGGAAATTGAGGTCAATCATATAGTCACCTATTTAATCAAGCATGTCTACATAATGAAACCCCAATAAAACTCTGGACACTGAAGCTCAGTGGAGCCTCCTGGCTGATGAACATACTGATGTGTGGGGGAATGATGTATCCAGACTCTATGAGAGCATGGAAGCTCTGCATTCTTTATCCCTCACTTGCCCCACATCTTGCCCTGTAAGTCTCCTCATTCGGCTGTTCCTGATCTGAATCCTCTAAAATAAAACTGTAATTGTATGTGTAGTATTTCCAATGAGTTCTGAGTCATTCCAGTGAATTACTGAACCTAGGCAGGTGTGGGAAGCCCCAATTTTGTAACCAGTTGGGCAGAAGTATGGGTAGCTTGGCATGTGAAGTGGGGTTATTTTTGTGAAGGACTCTACCATTAACCTGTATGTGTTATGTTAACTCTAGGTAGTTACTGTCAGAAGTGAATTGTACTGGAACATCCCCACTTAGGGTAGAATTTACAGGAAGGTGAGCAAAGTAAAGTGCAGTTTGCTTGGGGATGCCTGATACTTGCAGTTGGTGTCTGAAGTGATGGTAGTAGTCTTGGGAATGACTTTACCCTTAAATATGGGGTCTACACTCTGGGTAGTTTCAGAACTGAGTAGAATTATAGGACACCCAGTATGTTAGGGAACAGGTATTAGAACATAGCTGGAAATAATTTTCTTTCAGAAGTTTTAAGAAGTTGGTATTCTACGTCAAAGCTTCTAGTGTTGCTGTTTATGTATCTAAAGACATTTATATTTTTGTTTGTATGTGTGAAGTTGTTTTCCTTTCTCCAGAATGTTTTAGGACTTTCTTTTTATTTCTAGTGAGATGAAATGGCACCATGATGTGCCTGCTGTGGGATTATTTTCATCTGTGGTGTTAGATATTGGAGAGACCATTTTATTTGGAAAACTATGCCCCCCAGTTCTGGGATATTTTAATTTACTTCTGTGATCATTTGCTCCCTCTAGCTCCTCCATTCTCTTTCTGGAACTCCTCTTTATTTGAATATTGAACCCTCCAGGAATGATTCTCTGATTTTCTCATCTTTTCTGTTTTTCATCTCATATCTTTCTGTTCTATCTTCCGGAAAATTTATCTTCTACTCTGAGTTTTCATTTCTGCTACCACAATTTTAATTCCTAAGAACTCTTTCCTGAATTCTTTGAATATTCCTTTTGTGTACCATGGTTTCTTTGCACTATGGATGCATTATCATTTATCTGAGAATATTAATGTTCGTTTTATGTTTTAAAGTGTTCTTCTTTCTGCATAGTCCATCCCTACTTCGGAATGGGCTACCTATGAAAAGGTTAAGTGAAGCTCTATACATGAGGGATAAAGACTGGCAACTACAGCTATTTTTTTGGGTGGTCCAACTGTGTCGTTTTATTGGGGAATCCTCCAATGTCAGTACATTTAGGTCTGTTTTCTTGGGTTAATCACATTTCTTAAAGAAGTTGCTTCTAGCACCTTGTCTGTATTATAAGCCTGGATTCAGTGAGGGTTTCAGCACTCAGTAGGTAAATTTTCACTCAATTCAGTTTTTAGCATGTAATTTCAGTTACACTGGGCTTACCCCTATCTGAAGATCTTTTCTTCTTTCTAGAATAAGTCCTTCATCTTTTGCTGGGATTAGAAAGAACTCACCCAGCTAATGAGAGTTGAAGACAGGCTCTGGAGGTGCCACCTGCTTCTTAACCATTTTCAATCATCCTCTCACTAAAATTTTAGTCACTTTTTTTAATCTTCACATCCAGAGGTAACTGTTCTGGAACTCCACAGTATAAAATGAGTTGCTTCATGACTTTCTATTGCTGACTTAGGGGTTAATTCACTGCCATATGCTAAAACAGTGCATTTATTTACCTGCTTTTCAGTTCCCCAAATTTTACGATGTTACCTCCCTTGTCTCTGCCTTTTTAATTTCATCCTTTTAGTGTCATTTTAATGAGGACTGTGGAGCAAGCATAAATAACTTTGTATGATGAATTTTAATCATGAATTACATACAAGTTATAGCTTATTTACTAGTTGATAATAGCCAAATTAAGTCAGTTATCTGATTATATGTAATTTGATAACTGAAGTAAGGTATCTGTATTTATGGCTCGATAAATTTTAATTGCATAGGAGTTATTAAAAGATCAACATAGGGGCGCCTGGGTGGCACAGTGTTGGAGTTGTTGCCCCGACTTCAGCCAGGTCACATTTTCATGTCCGAAGTCAATGTTCTCTTCAAGATCAGTTTTTCTGGTTGATGGTCGAGCTGGAGCCTGTTTCTGACTGTGCCCCCTCTCTCTGCCCCCCTCCCCCCCGCTCATATGTCATAATACTCTCTGTCCCAAAAATAAATAAACGTTGAAAAAAAAAAAAAAGATCAACATAGTCAAGGTTTTTGATAATTCATTTAATTTCATGAAAAAAACTTATGAAGTGTCTCCATTCTCTAGAAGAACATCTATATTTTAATGTCACATTAATTATACATATTTTCTTTTCTTAGAATAATTACCTATTTTTATATCTGTAAATGAAAAAGAAACAATTTACCAACCTCTGCTTCTGTGGCTTGGGACTGTAAAAGCTGTCGTATACGAAGTATGTCCTTCTCTATTTGTTGAATTCTGGTTACTCTTCGCTAAAATAAAAAAGTGACCAAATTAGATCTAATTTTATTAAAAACATTAGTGTAAATAGTCATACTATGGCTATCATTTAGTAACTCAGGGATATGCTACATCATTCTTCCATAAGAAGTTAGATAATGTGTACATAGTCACACACTGATGACATATGGGGCAGTTCAATTTTTTAACACATCTAACTTTACATGATAGATTTATTTAGGAAAATTGTACACATAAAGTCATGTATCAAATTACATGGCACATGTGGTATAAAAATTCATATTTAAGTTATTCTTAAAAAATAGTCCAAAGACAAAATTACACCTGAGTTTGATCTTTGTATTTATCCAGATGCTAGTATAATGTAACAGATTTAAAGAAAGCATGGTATATGTGTTAAGGGAAAGAACATCTGATTTGTTTTTATAAATATTAGGGTTTAAGCAGTAGGACTAACCTTTCCCTGAGTTATTCCTATTATAAGTCAGATGCACCTTTCAGATATAGTTTTCCCAAATACCTTCTGCAGCTAAACATTATTTTTATTCCCAACACTAGGATCACAATGTTAGAAGCTTTGTGCTTTCCCACTATCCTAAGACCAGTAAATGAACACAAAGAATTTACTATAGATCAAACGACATGGAATTGAAACAATGTGGGAAAAGTGCTTTTTACAAAAAGCTAAATTTTGCTTTAATTTTTATGAACACAAGTGGAAGCGAGAAAAACCAAATCACTTGTATATGAAAACCTTGCAAAGTGAAATGATTTTTAATTACCTTCATGACAACAAACACATAGGTTTTAGAAAAAAGTACTGCCCAGCACCCGCTTGGCTGTGCTGAGCTGCAGCCTGACCCACTGAAGAAACTGCTGCCGTTGCCATCTCAAACCAGCCAGCCCCACCAAAGGCTGGCCAGCGAGCCCATCCCTTTTTTCCGACTTACAGCAAGTCTCCAGGATAGCTGCTTATGCCCACAGTGCACCTTCTCAGATCTGAGTGGACACAAAAGAGTTGCCGATTGCACGGTCTGGGATCCCATGAAGAGAGGGATCCTTGGACAGCTCTTCGTCTCCTCTCTTCACCTGTCTCCACTCTGCCTCTCCTGGCCCCCAGCCTCACTGTGGCTCACACAGTATCCTAACCTGCTACTAATCACAGGGAAGAGTGTGGAGAAGAGTGAGGGTGGAAGTGAGGCTGGAGCAAGGGAGGGTAGAACCATTTGGGATTGGCATTCGAAACCCTGGCCAGGGCTGGGGTGAGGGTCAAAAGATTAGGGCCTAGTATGTCTTCACTGTCACTGGGAAGGTGGAGGTACCACTGTGAGAGTGATCCCTAGGGGCCTATGGGAGTCCCCTTCCTACCCTTTCTCTTGGCATCACTCCTGTCCCCCTCTCCCTGACTTGGTGCTCACATGTACATCACTAGGGATTGCGACCAGGGTCTGGATGAGCTTGAGTTTGAATGAACTGAGTTTGTATTTCCAGCACCCTGGGTTTTTACATGTTCAGGCTTTTGTTTTGGTTTGTCACCCTTGATAAGGAAAGTGTATTAAAAAAAAAAAGAAAGAAACAAGTACTATCAATGTTGCATCATCTTCTGAAATAATTCTATAGTGACATCCTAATATTGAGGCATGAAAATTATGGGTAATTATTTTAATGGGCGAAAAACGTGTTAGAAGCTAGATGGAGTCATTTCTAAACTTTTTTTGTGTGTGTGTGCCCTATCAATAAACGATTCCTGAGCATGCATATCCCAAAAGATAAATAATAAAAGTACTAAAATAGCTTTAGCTATCTATACTATAAAACTTACACTGATCTATTTAGTTTTATTTAAATACAGTATCCTTATGATTTTACTACACAGTAAAAACATTTATTGATGCTATTATTTAATATTATGATAAATAACCACAGAAAAACTCAAAATTGTGCTCACCAAACAAAAAAAACCCTCCCAAAACCAAATCCTTCCTTCCCTCCCTCTCCTCCTTTCCCTCATAACACTATAAGTATGCTGATACTCTATTGTAATTGTGAAAACAGTGAACTTAAGGTAAATAAATTTCTCTAACAAACCCTTCCTTATCTAATTTATATCATGAAAACATGGTGAAGGAAGGAAAAATGCCTATATTTTCAGTAGCTCTCTAAAGATACCGCAGATATCAGTGGTTACCCCTACAACCATATGATAAACAATTTCTGGCTTTACATGAAACAACAAAACTATACACAATCAGCTTCAGAATACTGGTTTTCCTCTTTGTGTAACAAGCTCCGTGCCACCAATAAAATATTTTTTTAAATTTTTCATTAAGTTTTTAATTTTAGTCCCAGTAAACATACAGTGCTACATTAATTTCAGGTATAAAGTGATTCAACAATTCTACATACTGTTCAGTGCTCATCATGATAAGTACAGTCCTTAATCCCAGTCATCTATTTCACCTGTCTCCCTGCCCACCTCCCGTCTGGTAACCATCAGTTTGTTCTCTATAGTTAAGAGTCTATTTCTTGGTTTGCTTCTCTATTTCTGCCCCCCACTTCATTAATTTGTTTTTCAAATTCCACATATGAGTGAAATCATATGGTATTTGTCTTTCCCTGACTTAGCATTATATTCTAGCTCCATCCATGTCATTACAAATGGCAAGATTTCATTCTTTTTTATGGCTAAATAATATTCCACTGCATATATACACCACTCTTCCTTATCCATTCATCAGTCAATGGACACTTGATCTGTCTCCATAATTTGACTATTATAAATAATGCTGCAACAAACACAGGGGTGCAGAGATCCTTTTGAATTAATGGTTTTGTATTCTTTGGGTAAATACTCAGTAGTGCAATTATTGGATTATATGGTAGTTCTATTTTTAACTTTTTGAGGAACCTTCATACTGTCTTTGACAGTGGCTGCACCAGTTTGCATTCCCAACAGCAGGGCATGAGTACTCCTTTTTCTCCACATCCTCACCAACAGTCCAGAGTCAGACACTTAACTGATGGAGCCACTCAGGTGCCCCTTCTGCTCATTTTTTCATTGGATTTATTGCTTGGTTTTGGGTGTTGAGTTGTATAAGTTCTTTATATATTTGGATACTAACCCTTTATCATATGTCATTTGCAAATAATATTTTCCCATTTAGTCAGTTGTCTTCTTTGTTGATTGTTCCCTTCACTATGAAGAAGCTTTTTATTTTGATGTGGTCCTAAGTTTACTTTTGCTTTTGGTTTCCTTGCCTCAGGGGACCTACCTAGAAAAAGTTGCTACGGTTGATGGCAGAGAAATTACTGCCTGCATTCCTTTCTAGGATTTTTATAGTTTCGGGTCTCACGTTTAGGTCTTTCATCCATTTTGATTTTATTTTTGTGGATGGTGTAAGAAAGTGGTCCGTTTCATTCTTTTGTATGTTGTTGTCCAGTTTTCCCAACACTATTTGTTGAACAGACTGTCTTTTGTCTGTTGCATATTCTTTCCTGCTTTGTTGAAGATTAATTCACCATGTAACTGTGGATTCATTTCGGGCTTTTCTATTCTGTTCCACTGATCTATGTAGTTATTTTTGTGCCAGCACCATACTATTTTGATTACTACAGCTTTGTAATATAACTTGGAAGTCCAAATTGTGATGCCTCCAGCTTTGCTCTTTTTCAAGACTGTTTTGGCTATTTGTGTTCTTCTGTGGTTCCATACAAATTTTAGGATTATGTGTTCTAGTTCTGTAAACAATGCTATTGATATTTGGACAGGAATTGCGTCAAATCTGTAGATTGCTTTGGTATGGATATTTTAACAACATTTGTTCTTCCAACCCATGAGCATGGAATGTCTTTCTATTTTTGTGACATCTTTCATTTCTTTCATCAGTGTTTTATAGTTTTCAGAGTACAGGTCTTTCACCTCCATGGTTAAGTTTATTCCTAGATATTTTATTATTTTTGGTGCAGTTATAAATGGGATTGTTTTCTTAATTTCTCTTTCTGTGGTTTATTATTAGTGTATAAAAATGCTATGGATTTCTATACAGTGATTTTGTATCCTGGGACATTACTGCATTCCTTTATCAATTCTAGTAGGTTTTTTTGGTGGAGCCTTTAGGGTTTTCAATATAGTATCACGTCATATGCAAATAGTGAAAGTTTTACTTCTTTCTTACCAATACGGATGCCTTTTATTCCTTTTTCTTGTCTGAATGCTGTGGCTAGGACTTCCAGTATTATGTTGAATACAACTGAGAGTGGACAACCATGTCTTGTTCTTGACTTTAAGGGAAAATCTCTCAGTTTTTCTCCAATGAGGATGATGTTAGCTCTGGGTTTTTCATATATGGTCTTTGTTATGTTGAAGTATGTTCCCTCTAAATCTACTTTGTGGAGGGTTTTTATCATGAATGGATGTTTTATTATGTCAAATGCTTTTTCTGTGTCTACTGAAATGATCACATGTCTTTAATCCTTTCTCTTATTGATGCAATGTATCGTGTTGATTGACTTGTGAATATTGAGGAATCCTTGCATCCTGGAAATAAATCCCACTTGGTGGTGAATTTTTTTTTTTTAATGTATTGTTGGATCTGGTTTGCTAATATTATGTGAGGAATTCTGCATCTATGTTCATCAGAGATATTGGCCTGTAGTTTTTTTTCTAGTGTCTTTGTTTTTTTGGAGCAAGGTAATGCATGTCTTGTAGAATGAATTTAGAAGTTTTCCTTCCTTTTCTATTTTTTTGGAGTAGTTTGAGAAGAACAGGTATTAACTCTTCTTTAAATGCTTGGTAGAATTCTGCAGTGAAGCCACCTGGTCTGGGCTTTTGTTTGCTGGCAATCTTTTTGATTTTATTTCTGGTAATTGGTCTTTTCCAATTTTCCATTTTTTCCTATTCAATTTTGGGAAGTTACAGGTTTCTAGGAATTTATCCATTTCTTCTAAGTTGCCCAATTTGTTGGCATATGATTTTTCAAAATATTCCCATATAATCCTTCGTATTTTTGGT